TTCCGTCTGTTTACATCATACCCATCCTCTAAAAACTTGGGTTGGGGAAACTAGGAAAAGGTTAGGGTCAATTATGGGTAAGGTGTCGGTCCTTCAGTAATAAAAGTCTATGCTAAGGGCTCTGAGCCTCTGGGCCTTAGTGAGTTGAGTATTGTTGTCGCCAAGTGTCCCACTGGGCCCATGCTGCTTGCCATGTCTCTCCTTTAGGTCTTAGGCGTCTTGTTTCTAACTCATATTGTTTTGTGGTGTCCACCTCGTTCAAACACTGCTCAATCTCTGGCGGAGTGTCCCTAAGCCACATCTTTCCTATTGCCGCTAGGGCTGCAATGATAATATGGTACATAAGATGTAGAGTGGCTTTGGGAAGTCTCCTCGGCAGTGCTAAAAGTAAGTATGTCTCTGGGTTGTGAGTAAGTTTCTCGCCTGTTACTGCCTGTATCGTGGTTGAAATATCCTTCCAGAACTCCACAAGTCGTGGACAGGACCACCAAATGTGGAGCATAGATCCGGATGCCGTCCAGCATCTCCAACACAGGTTGGATCTTTCATGAGCTATGTTGTGCACCCTTGTGGGGACCATATACATCCTATATAGCACTTTCCTACTTAGTTCTATGTGGGATGCGTTGAGAGTGAGGTTTTTGTGTGCGAGGAATATGTCGGCCCATTGTTCGTCTGATATGTTTTTGTGGAGATCCCTCTCCCAAGCCCTCAGAAACGATGGTCTCCATAGTTTATCGTATTTCGTTAGTTGCTGATATATTACAGACAGCAATTTGGGGGAAAGTTTCGGGGCTATGCACAATTTCTCCAATTCTGCTAACAAGGAGTTGCGCTGTTGTAGGACATCTCCTTTGAGATTCCGTCGTGCCCAAGATTGTAATTGCATGTGCGAGTACTGTGCTTTCTCTGGGAGTCGATAGGATTGGATTATGGAGTTAAAATCCAGGATACGGCCCTCTGCTAGGATTTGATATATATATGTTACCCCATGTTTGTGCCACAGCCCATAGTCAAAGTTAGGAATATAAAATTGTAAGGCTTGTATCGGCATAGCGAGGGATATGTAAGTATCGCTTCGGTGCCGTTTAAGGATTCTGTCCCATATGTAAATCGTTGCTGCCATGGTGGGACTAATATTGTTGTATTTCGGTCTATGCATTTTAGGCAACCAAACCATTGTGGGCAGGGAAAGGCCCCCTATGTGCCTACGTGGCTTTTTATCAAAGTAAGTAGTTACCAGCGTACTCATCACAGCCGCCGCGTAATACCATGCTATGTTTGGCAACCCCAGGCCACCTTCCCTAAATGGTTTATACAAAGTTTCAGCCGCTATCCTAGGTTTCTTTCCTCCCCAGATGAATTGAGTTATCACTTGTTGAGACTCTTTAAAGAAAGTACTCGGTAACCTAATCTGCAAGGTTCGGAAAAGGTATTGCCACCTTGGTAAGACCATCATTTTAATGGCAGCTATTCTACCCGTCCACGAGATGTATTTGTGTTTCCAAGCCAAGAGCTGTTGCTTAATTGAGTTATGCAGTTTCAGATAGTTAGCCTTATATAGTTGGTTTGTTTGAGGTGTGAGATTGACCCCTAAAAAGGTTAAGTGGGACTGTTGCCAATCGTAAGCATGGGTGGTTTTTAATTCCAGGAGTTTGGATTTGGTTATGTTGAGGCCCATGGCTTGCGTTTTTGTTGTGTTCAACTTATAATAAGAGCAATTGCTAAATCGTGTTAAGACAGTTTGTAGCTCGGGGAGGGAAGTCTCTGGTTGAGATAGCGTGAGCATTACGTCATCTGCAAAAAGTGTAATTTTATGTTCCATCCCTCCTGCTAGTATCCCATGAATACCTGGTGAGTTCCGTATATGCTGTGCTAAAGGCTCCAGCGCTATTATGTATAAGAGGGGGGATAGTGGGCACCCTTGCCTGGACCCGTTGGAAATTGAGAAGGGTTTGGAGGTGAAGCCCCCATTAGATATTCTTGCAGTGGGGTTACTATATCAGGGTAATGAAGCATTCCGGGAAGGCTAGCTTCCTGAGTACGGATTGTAGGTAGCCCCAGTGTAGCCTGTCAAATGCTTTTTCAGCATCCAGTGACAGTGCCACACTCGGGACTCCGGTTCTCCGTATAGTATGGAAAAGATTAATCAACTTCCTGGTCCCGTCTGAGCCTTGCCTCCCCCTTATGAACCCAACTTGATCATCATTTATCAACCTGGGCAGGATGGACCCCAGTCTGTTAGCATAAATTTTGGCTAATATCTTTAGGTCCGTGTTTAATAGCGATATGGGGCGTAAATTTTGGCTTCTATTGGGTGGTTTGCCGGGTTTTGGCAGGGTTGTTATGTGCGCTAATAGCGTTTCTTTAGGGATTTCGCCGGTGATACGTATATGGTTGTACAATTTCTCTAATTGGGGGACGAGTGTATGGGAAAAGGTTTTGTAATAGAGATTCGTGAAACCATTTGGGCCAGGGGATTTCCCCTTAGGAAGCGATTTAATCGTGGTTTCGATCTCTGAAGATGTAATGGGTTCTGCTAGTGATATCTGGTCTGGGTGTGTAAGCTGCTGCATCTGGACACCGTGTAGGAACAGGTCTATTTCCGCTTGGGATGGCTGGTGTGTGCCTGGGTTCTTTTTTAGATTGTAAAGGCCATCATAATAATCCTCCAATTGATCATTAATCGCGTGAGGGTTATACATCTTATTCCCTATGCTATCAAGGAGATACGGGATTTTTGCATTTTGTCGTTGTTGCCTTAGTAGCCTTGCCAGTGTCTTCCCCGCTCTATTCCCTTGTGTGTATGTCGTCTGTTTTAGTTTGTATGCCAGGAGGGCCGTTGTCCGCAAATGTTTAGCATTTAATTCCCCTTGTAGGGCCTCTATGCGTTGTTGAGTGGATGGCGTTGGGGTTTTGATTTGCCTGGAGGTTTCTTCCCTTAGGGATCTCAAAAGATCTATGTATTCTTGTCTGGATTTTTTGTTAAGATAAGATGTGTGACTAATTAGCAGACCTCTGATTACTGCCTTGTGCGCCTGCCATTGTGTGGTGATGGCGGTGTCTGTAGTACTATTTAATTCAAAAAAGGCGTTTATTTCCTCTTTTAATTTGGCTAACAAATCCCTGTTGGAGAGGAGATAGTCATTTAGGCGCCACGTGGCCGCCCCCCTCGAGGGGAAGGTATCTTCCAGCCTCATATACACCGGGGCGTGATCCGACCATACTATATTCCCTATTTCACTATGCGTGGCTTTGGGTAATAGGTCCCCTGATATGAATATAAAATCTATACGAGTGTGCGTTTTGTGTACTTGTGAGTAGAAGGTAAATTCCCGACTGTTCGGATGCTGTGCTCGCCATACGTCGTATAGTTGGTATTCCGACAGGAGTTTTAACAGGAGATCTGCCTGTCTTTCCACCACTCTGTGTCTATGTGCCTGTGCCCAAGCAGTGGTGTCCATGCTGGCAGATAACACATGATTTAAGTCCCCGCAGATAATTGTGGACGCTTGCACCGTATTAGGGAGTTTAGAGAGCACCTTCCTCAGGAAGTTCCCTTGGTTGTCATTAGGGCTATAAATTCCCACTAGAGTATAGACAACTTCATTAATTTTACAATGTAGTATAAGAAATCGACCCTGTGTATCTTTTTTTAAAAACAAGAGCTCAAATGAGAGTGATGCGTGGATGAGCAGGGAAACACCTCTGGATTTAGAAGCATATGTGGAGTGATATTGCGTGGGGTAATCTTTAGAGGCAAAGTGGGGTACCTTATTATGTGCGAAGTGGGTCTCTTGTATACAGAGAATATCTGACTGCTGACGCTTGGCATCCTCCAGGAGGAGCCGTCGTTTGTGCGGCGTGTTTAAGCCGCAAGCATTAATTGTTTGTATTTTCATAGATCACTTAGTGATATTGGACTTCTAAGTAGTATAACAGGTACCAGCACAGCAGCACAAAGTGCCAAGGGGATAACCGTGTATGCTAAGTCTAGGTGTTGGGCTACCTCTTCAGCTTGATTCCCAGGCCAGACGCCCGTCTGTGCAGGGAAGCCGTGATGCATGGACCTGTGAGCCGTTGTATTTAGTAATATGTTATAGTTTGCCTGACCGACACGGGGGAAAACAAGAGGGGAAAGGGAAAACGTGAGAACTATGTACAAATCGTCTCCCAAGGAGACTGCATGTGGATCATCCACATCTGGGGTATTATGGAGATGTTGTCTCTCCATTAGCGTGACTGTATGCACCTCTATGTATGTGCCTACACTGCTGGCGCAGCTGACACTTCCATTTATGTGGTGAGCAGTAGTTTAGTGGGATGTAGTCGGGCCCCGCCCACGTCCCCGCCCCTGGGTACAGCACAAGTGGTTTCTGCGGCCTAAGTTTGCCTTCAGACAGTCACCCTGCCCTACTGTCTCATCATTCCAACCGTATCGAACAATTATTGACCAATGATAGTCCCATAATAGACCCCCCCGCTCCACCACCCGCCACCCCAGACCCCCGGAGCCCCCGCCCCACCAATGACTACCAGTCTTTCACTGTCCGGCATGTCTGCAGCCAGGCCTAGGGCAGCTGCTTCCTCTCCAGGCAGCTGGCAGTGTCCGTATTCAGCGATGCCGTGCTGTGGCCGAATGCCTGACCATATCCACCCTCGGGGCAGTCCACAACTCCGGGGGGCCCAAACATAGGGCAAGAGGGGAACTGGCAGGGGAACAGGAAGAGCCCCTACCTCCTTCTTGCAGCCCGGCCCGGGGGCCCCCGCAGACGGTCCCGCTCTGCGCACGCCTCGTCACGGGGGTCGGCGGGGAACCCCGGACCCGGCCGCTCTCGTGATCACTCCCTCCCCCGAGCCCTCCCCCGCTCCAGACATCCAGTCCATCCCCAAGCGGAGGGGAGACGGCGCGGGGGGCTCACTCAAGGGCAGTCACTCCGCGGAGTCCCGGGTCAGAACGTGTGCTGGTCCCACATCCCTTAATCAGACTCTGGCTGGGTTCAATGTTTCTTGGCGGCCTTTTTCCATTCCGTGGTAAGTTTCCCCACGGGTTTGGCCGTTGACATGGTCTGTGCGACTTGTATATTCCAGGCACTCAGTTGCTTTGCCCCCTCGTCCGGGTTTGCTATGGCGGTGATTCCTCTATCTTTGGCAATCAATAACTTAGTGGGAAAGCCCCATCTGTACTTAATACCGTGCGCTCTCAGGGTAGCTGTAATCAGATGAAATGCCTTCCGCTTTCTTAGTGTTGCCGCTGATAAGTCAGCGTATATCTTGATGTCAGGATAATCTGGCGGCGGTGTGGCCCTCATCTTGCTGCCGCGAAGGATGTGCTCCTTTATATGATAATAATGCGCCCTCATTAGTACATCTCTCGGCACTTCCTGGGGAAGGTGTTTGGGCTTGGGGATGCGGTGAACTCGGTCTACCAGCAGCATATCTGTTGGTATCTCCGGGGCATGGGCATGCAGTAGGCCCCGCACGTATGCTGGTAGGTCTTCAGTAGTGACCTCCTCTGGGATACCCCTCAGTCGTAAATTATTCCGATGAGAGCGGTCTTCCAGATCCTCCACTTTCCCTTCAAGAGCATCTATCCTGGCTGCCATGTGTTCCACATTCGAGGCCAGATCGTTATGGGCCGTGGCGAACTCGTCATATTTGTCCTCCATGTGAGTAGTTCGTCGTCCCAGCTCTTGTATATCCTTCCTCAGAGAGTCTGCCATTTGTTGCCATGATGATATCAGCTTAGCAGACAAGCTGTCTAGTGCCAATGCTAGATCAGTCTTCGTAATTTGGGCATTTTCGGACGGAGTTAGCAGATCTTGTATAGAGGGCCCGCCATCAGAATCCATGCCTCCATCTGGATTTGAGGCCTGCGCAGCCACAGACGCCAGCACTTGTTTCTGGCTGAAAAAATTAAGCTTGTCCGGTTTCCCGGAGCTCTTTTTGCTTTTGTGGTGTGACATTGTCGGCACCTTGTGAAAATTAAGTAGTTACTGCTCAGGATTGCAATAGATTAGGTGCTAGATGCCGGAGCAGGAGAATTATGCGTCCATCTTGCTCCGAAGCTGGCCACGCCCCCGTAAAGCAAGTATTTTGAGGTGTACATAGGATGTTCTGGATGAAGGGTATTTCCATGATACTTGAAAGTATTGTAAATTGTTTTCTAAATTGTTTTGAAAAATTGTGTATAATGTATAAAAAGCAGACTTAAGCAGCACTTCAAAGAAATATGTATACAGGTTTTATTTTCATTTTTTTCTTTTTTCTGTCTGATAATTGTTGCAGTCAATACCTGGATACTCTATGAAACTTTTTGCAAACTTATGAGGTACGTATTTGTCAACATCTGTATTGTGTAAGATGTTACAGCTTGTATGAGATACCTATATGAGTATCCTATTGATTGAATTTTGCATAGGTACTGCAATTTTGGGATCTATTAATCTTAAATCTTCTCTAGAAAGCACTTACATTTTAATTTGTTTTAATTTGCTATATATTTTCAATAAGTTAAATTTTTTGCATTATTTTTGAGTGCAGTATTTTAAAATGTTTGATCATTTTGGAGGTTGCGGAGGGGTCACGTCAATACCAGCTTCTAGTAAACAGTTTAGTGCCAACACATCAATGTATTTTGGAATAATCTGCAAGCACTTTATGGATATCATTTGAACACGAAAATAAGTTCAAATATGGATTTTTTTTAGACTATAGATTGCAGCGTTATTTACTAAAGTGAAAATTGTTGGGAACTCAAAGTCAATTCAAAGCATGCAACTACAGTATCAAAACTGGGAAATCTTGCATCACCTGATAGAGTTCTAACCTCAACATATGAGGAAAGGGATTTAGGGGTGATTATTTCTGATGACTTAAAGGTAGGCAGACAATGTAATAGAGCAGCAGGAAATGCTAGCAGAATGCTTGGTTGTATAGGGAGAGGTATTAGCAGTAGAAAGAGGGAAGTGCTCATGCCATTGTACAGAACACTGGTGAGACCTCACTTGGAGTATTGTACACAGTACTGGAGACCGTATCTTCAGAAGGATATTGATACCTTAGAGAGGGTTCAGAGAAGGGCTACTAAACTGGTTCATGGATTGTGGGATAAAACTTACCAGGAAAGGTTAAAGGATCTTAACATGTATAGCTTGGAGGAAAGACGAGACAGGGGGGATATGATAGAAACATTTAAATATATAAAGGGAATCAACACAGTAAAGGAGGAGACTATATTTAAAAGAAGAAAAACTACCACAACAAGAGGACATAGTCTTAAATTAGAGGGACAAAGGTTTAAAAATAATATCAGGAAGTATTACTTTACTGAGAGGGTAGTGGATGCATGGAATAGCCTTCCAGCTGAAGTGGTAGAGGTTAACACAGTAAAGGAGTTTAAGCATGCATGGGATAGGCATAAGGCTATCCTAACTATAAGATAAGGCTAGGGACTAATGAAAGTTTTTAGAAAATTGGGCAGACTAGATGGACCGAATGGTTCTTATCTGCCGTCACATTCTATGTTTCTATGTTTCACCTATGTTTTTTTTTTTTCTTAGCATTACCTATGGGATTTCCAGAGTTAATATGGGTGGCAATAAAGAGGACAATTAAATTAACTGCTACAAAATAAATTCATTAATGCAGCATGAAGGACATTTCTCCAAAAGGACGAGGTAGAAGAGGAGGTAATGTCCAGACGGTAAGGCCTGACAAAAGTGTTGGATGAAAACCAGTCTGTAGTGTGAGATTCTGATATTGGTATGTGTGTTTTCTTTAAATTAACCCCTTAAGGACACATGACGGAAATATTCCGTCATGATTCCCTTTTATTTCTGAAGCTGTGTACTTAAGGGGTTAATACATTTGTGTTTCACTTGAAATATTAATCACTGACAGATGCATTGTTTGTCGATTTAAACGTGGACATTCAGTTATTCCATGAACTTTGAATGTGTCTAAATTCCTTGCTGCTTGAACCCATAACTTTCCTTGCTGAAATTACTTCTCTGGCCCCTCTACTTGAACAGCAAATCTGGTGTTAATTCAACTTCTTCTGCTACACCCATAGGCGTGCGCACGGGGTGTGCCGGGTGTGCCTGGGCACACCCTAATCCCCGCGGCAGGCCTATGTGTATTGAGACCGGCAGGGGAGATCTCAGGATCTCCCCTGTCGGCTCATGCAGAGCCGGCGCTATCAGAGCGCTGGCTCTGCTCTCAGCCTCCCTCCCCACTGACCCACAGGCAACGCTCAAATCTCGCGAGAGTGTACTCTAGCCCCACAGGGGGCTAGAGTTCACTCTCCACTGGACCACCAGGGATCACAGCAGCAAGGATCCCCTCCTCCACTGGACCACCAGGGAAGGAAGCAGCACGATCCCCTCTCCCTACAAAAGGTAAGAAGGGAGGGGGGATAGCAATTAATGTACCCCCACCTCCACAATCACCCACACACACATACAGCACACACATACATACAACACCCACACACAAATACAGCACACACACATACAACACCCACAGACATACACAGCACCCACACACATACAGCACCCACAGACATACAGCACCCACAGACATACACAGCACCCACAGACATACAGCACCCACAGACACATACAGCACCCACAGACATACAGCACCCACAGACATACAGCACCCACACACACACAGACATACAGCACCCACAGACATACAGCACACAGACATACAGCACCCACAGACATACACACCACACACACATACAGCACCCACACACATACAGCACCCACACAGCACCCACAGACATACACAGCACCCACACACATACAGCACCCACACACAAACAGCACCCACAGACATACACAGCACCCACAGACATACACAGCACCCACACACATTCAGCACCCACAGACATACAGAACCCACAGACATACACAGCACACACACACATACACACCCACAGACATACCCACCCACACACATTCAGCACCCACAGACATACAGCACCCACACACATTCAGCACCCACAGACATACACAGCACCCACACACATTCAGCACCCACACACATTCAGCACCCACAGCACCCACAGACATACAGCACCCACAGCACCCATACACAGCACCCACAGACATACACAGCACCCACACACATACAGCACCCACACACACACCCACACACATACAGCACCCACAGACATACACCCACAGCACCCACACACATACAGCACCCACAGACATACACAGCACCCACACACATACAGCACCCACAGGCATACAGTACCCACACACATACACATTACCCACACACATACAGCACCCACAGCACCCACAGACACAGCACCCACAGACACAGCACCCACAGACATACACAGCACCCACACACATACAGCACCCACACACACATACAGCACCAACACACACACATACAGCACCCTCACAAACACACAAACAGCACCCTCACACACACACAGCACACTAACAGTACCCTCACAAACACAAACAGGACCCTAACACACACACAGCACACTACCAGTACCCTCACACACAAACAGCACCCTCACACACAGTACATTAACAGCATCCTCACAAGCACGCACATACAAACACCCTCAAACACATAGCACACTACCAGCACCGTCACACACACATCACACTAACAGCACCCTCACACAGCACACACACAGCAGTGTGTGTATGTGTGTATATATATATATATATATATATATATACATACATACATATATATATGCGGCGTGTGCTTGTGCTTTAGGGTGCACACCCTAATGCAATAGGCTGCGCACGCCTATGGCTACACCGTAAAACCATTCTGCTCTCCTGGATTCAACTTCTGGCTTTTATTACGGATACGCCTCTTGGACGTCCCTTATCTACTCTGCATGATTACTTGGTAACAAACTTTGGCTTTGGAATTTAGTATTGGATTAACCCTTTATAAAACCTGTTTGATCAATCCGTAACAAACTTTGGGTTTGGACTTTTGCTTTGTGTGTTTGGATTGCCCTTATATCTTACTGATTACCTGTTAACATCTCCTGGTTTGTCACTTCCACTTTGCTGCACAGATTTACCATTTACAACACCTGCTGGATATTTATGTTTTTGTATCCCTTATTAAAATTATAAGTATTTGTATTTTCTGGAGTATTTTGTTAAAAGTAGATATAATTTAATTTTAAGGCCATTTATACTTTTTTTTAATTTCTTTAACAAAGTGGCACAATATGTATAAAAAAACCTGACATGCAGCTGTACAGATCTCATCAGTATAGGTATCGCCCAAAGATGCTAAAATGCCAAGACAGCCC